ACTAAGTATCATAATGCTGGCCATCTACCAGCCCTGGATCGTATGGTAACTCCTCCTTGAAAATATTCCTTGGTGGAGACCTTCTTTTGAACACCCAAAAATACTGTGCCTCTCTCAATGGCACTTAAGAGTCTTTAAAACAAAACAAAACAAAACTAAACTAAACTAATGCTCTCATTTCTGATTATATAAGTAAAACATTGCTCATTGCAAATAACTCAAATAATAATGGCAAATTTTGGGGGGTAAACACATCATGGTCCTCTCATGAATATACATTCCTCAAGGACAACACTGTGTTTCATTAATCTTTATATCCTTTAGCACCAGAAGGTCTACCCTTGGCTTGGTTCATAGTGTGAACTAAGTAAGAATGTATTTGAATGAATGAATTATGCTTAGGACTTTTATAGCTAAGCTTAAAGCTGATTTTTAAAGCTTACGTGAGATTTATGGTCAGTAATATTTTTAAAAAGAATTATTTTATTTAACTTAATTTATTTACTTGTTTTTCAATTTGACCAGAATCGGACAGAGAGAGAAGGAAAGTGAGAAAGCAAGCCACCAGGTCCAGGATTCAAACCATGGTCGACCATCAGAGTCGGACAGAGAGAGAAGGAAAGTAAGAAAGCAAGCCACCAGGTCCAGGATTCAAACCATGGTCGACCATGTGGGAGTCCAGCACCCTTAACCACCCCTCTCTCTCTCTCTCTCTCTCTGTTGGCCCCTCCATAATATTATTAATGTTTCTTCATTTCTAATGGTATAATACATTTCCTTTGAAAAATTATTCATAAAATTATATCATTGCTAGGTTAACAAAATGTCTGTGATTCCTGGGAGTGTTGGGTCAAATCCATCTCTGATCATCTGTTATTGCTGAAAATTTTACTGCCTTTATCTTCAGACTACTCTAGAGATGAATTATTTAATTCATGCTGAGAACATTTCAGTACTTCTGGTTGTTCACCTTTCGAAGCTCCTCAGGTATCGGCTGTATTTGTGAGTTAAAATATTCCTGGGTTATAGGTCTTAACTTCATTGAAAATTGACTGCACATTTTTATCATTAAATCATGAGCATCAGGTGACTTTCACATTTCTGCTGAAGGCATGTTTCTCATTAGGTTAAAGCCTTTCAGTCTGTACAATTAATGGTTCATCACACACTAGGGAACATTTATTAATTTTCGTTTTACTTGTTTTTTGGAGGTTACAAGGGTTAAGGGTTCTAAGTTAGAGTTATTGAAATTTTAAAAGGTGTAAATAGGTAAATATTACGGTTTCTGGAAAAGTGAGACATTTTTCCCTTTAAGCATGTGATTAATATTACTAATAAAAATGTCATCAGCCTTCTCTGCCAGGGTGATGCAGTTAGAAAGACATTTTGCATGTATGTGTGTGGTTGGTTTTCTTCATCTAATAAGATATTTTGAGAGATTGCTTAATGTAAGAAAATTAGTTTTAAAAACAGATCCTTGATGCTTTGTTGATTTTTTTTTCCCCCAATCTTCTGGAGGGCACATGTGCTGGGGGCTGGGGGGTGGTAGAGAGAGAAAGTGAGAAAGTACTCCCCCTATGGGGCACATTCACATCAAAATCCCTTCTCCATCTCTCCCTCCTTTCAGGATTTTGGGCATGGGCAGACACATGCACAAACCCGGTGTGCTTTTCAAGCTGTTGGGCCAAGACTCAAACTGTGCTGTAGGTCACATAGGATCCAGCTGCTTTAACCACCAGGCCAGGGGCTAGCACACTTTGTTGATCTTATATAATAATTCAAAATGAAAAATAATATGTTCCTATGCATTTACAAAAATAAAGATTGCATTTTGTAGCTTATAGCTGTTTGAGATATACAGGTTTTTTGTTTGTTTGTTTTTTGCCTCGTGTTAATTATGTAACACAAATACATTCTTGTTGAAAACTGAATTTTTAGAAAGCAGCCTCCTTCCTATACTTTTGTAGATAGATAACTTATTCAAATTATTCAAATTTTGCTTTATTCATAAGCTACTTTCTTAAGTAGTTATTTTCTTATGCTACTGTTCATAGTAGCTGATGTTGGGGACCTCAAAAGTTCATAGAAAAATGGAATTAAGGTACATGTTTACTTTGGTGCAAATAACTTTCTAAATACATATAGTTTTGCATATCACACATTTCTATAAACATTTTGGAGACTTCTGCAGAATATTTTTTAGAGAGATTTTTTTGCTATAGGACATGTATGCTTGTCAGAGAGACAGAGAGAGATAGGGAGACAGAAAGCCAGAAATCACACACCCCCAATCCCCCCAGTGGGGATGGCCACATCACAATCCCTTCTCTTACATTCTCCTCTCAGGATCTTGGGCACGCACAGACATGTCCAGTGTAAGTTTCAAGCTACCAGATCTGGGACTTGAACTGCAGTTGGCCCTGTGGGAATCCAGCAACATAACTATTACACCATCTGCTGGTCTTAGACTTTTGTATAATATTTAATTGTTGCACAGATCATGAGACACTTCCTAAACAGCTTTATTGAGCTATAATCCACATACCATATAGCTTACTCACTTAAAGCGCATTATTCAGTGGTTGTTAGTCTATTCACAGAGCTATGGAACCAACACCACAATCTAATTTAAATTTTTGTCACCCCAAAGAGAAACCTTGCCCATTAGCAATCACTCCCTATTCTCTCCACTCTACCAGCCCTAGGCAAACACTAATCTACTTTCTATTTCCGTAGATTCAGTGGCATCTATAAAAATTTTTTTAATTATCTCAATGTTTTGGTGATTTTATGACATTATTAAAAACAATACATTTAATGCAATACATAGAAAGTGGTGTTTTCTACCTTATAATTTTTATTTTTTCAAATGAAGCATCTGGTGTGTAATAATTTCAAATCCATCGGTTAACTGCACCAGTATTATGTTTGCCTGTGCTGTCCTTCTACTTGATTGGTACTATAAAAGTTTTATTTTTATACCTACACAAATGCAGAAATGTTAAGTTGACATTATTAAAAACAATACATTTAATGCAATACATAGAAAGTGGTGTTTTCTACCTTATAATTTTTATTTTTTCAAATGAAACATCTGGTGTGTAATAATTTCAAATCCATCGGTTAACTGCACCAGTATTATGTTTGCCTGTGCTGTCCTTCTACTTGATTGGTACTATAAAAGTTTTATTTTTATACCTACACAAATGCAGAAATGTTAAGTTAAGAAGATGGTGAATATTTAAGTGGTGCGCATGAAACACACTCAGAGCAGACTATCTCAGGCAATTGTATCATTCTTCCTTTTATTCTTCATTTCCTTCTCCCTCATTAACATGTAAACACTCACATACACATACATTGGTCAGGGTCACACATCGTAAGCAGATTTTATGCAGTAGAGCACAAGAAGAAGCAATGCATGTTCAGTACTGAATATTCCTATACACATTATGAAAACAACATGTGTATTTTGATTGCATGTACATGTGGTTTATTTCTAAATCGTAGTGGGAATCACAAGACATTCTCTAGAGGTTAGAAGTGCTAAACAAGAAAGCAGAAATAGATAAAAATAGTATTCTAGATAGACACTTGATTCTACTGAAATTATTCATTGCACTATCAGAAAACCTGCGGGTCATTCATGCATTCACTCTTTTATTTAATACACATTTATGGATTAATACAATGTAAAGGACACAGTGCCCTTTGTAACAGTGACCATCTAAAATTTGGCTTCCTTGGGAAGTGTTGCCCAATGTCAGCACATAAGAGGGTAGGCTGTCTTCTCACAAGGAAAGAGCTCAATGAATCATGCATCTTTTCCTTTTTCTTGAAAAACTGCAGCCTATATTTTTCAGGAAAATTCAACATAATTGGTATATACCCATCTTTTTAGGTGAATTAGGCCTTAACTGACAGATAACCCATTTTGTTCTAAAATTCAACAAACTCTCAGAAAATCTTATTCCACACAATCTTTTGAATATGTCATTTGCCATTTATATTTGATGGCCTTAAGCAAAAAAAAGTTATAAAAAGGTATTAATGCAAGTAGATAATAAAGCTGCATTCTATAAATCTATAGCAGCTTACAGTAATCATTAAAGCATGCAAAAGTCTTTCATCTATTCAAAAATATGCAGTGCACAGAATGTCTGCTAAGGTGCATGACAAGTCAGAGTTAAATATATATTAATAAATGAATTAGCTTCATAAATAATAGCCATAATGACATTTTAGGAGACAATAAGTCTGAGGATTGTCAGAAAACGGTTGATGTATGAGCTTCACGTCTCAGTGATTCTTCAAAATGAATAGGCTTTGCGAGATAGTTCAGACCCGCGACCAGCCTATTTCCTTGAATAATTTACTTGTTGTCAATTTGTACAGCCACATTACACATGCAAATTGTGCTGCCTGTGCAAACACCACTTGGAGATGATAAAAACAAATTTACGAAGGCTATAGAAGAAGGATTTATTTCACTTTCTCACCCAGGTCAAGCAATACATGTATCTGACGATTGTGTGTACCCAATTTTGTTGTAATTATATCAGCAAATTATTCCTTATAATCTTATTATTTTTAGCAGTCTCCTTGTGCTTGGGATAATTAGCTTTCTTCACTCAGTGTAAAAACAATTCAACTTGCCAGCCAGGCAGGGCATAGCTCCATTATCTGTTTTGGGTTTAAATTTATTCCCTATATTCTTGGACACTTTGTGTAAATTAAAAATTTCATAGTCCCTAATACTGTACACGCTGTTCATTCAGTGATGAATTAAGGCCCCTAAACCTCTCCGTTTGCTATTAGATATCTCACCCACTTTATATGTTAATCTGTGCTAATGAATTCCACAACCCCTAGCCACAGCGAGATGACTAAAATTATTACCACTTACAGAGATATGCCTTTTTCATTTAAAGTTCAATTCAAATTGCTCCCATAAACAGTCTGCCACACAAAGATACCTCCTATAAAGGAGAGTTACTTACCTATAAGTAGAGTTCTCTGAAGGTAGTATTATCTGTGGATGCACATTCCCAGGTCACGTGCCCTCAGGTCTGTGGCATGGGGGGAGAGAATTCATAGCTGATGGGTAGGTCTTTCTTTCCTTGGGGCCCCTCATTAGCTCTGTGGCCTATATTCCTGAGGGTTATTTGTGCCACACCCCTTCACACAACCAATCCTGTTCTGAGTTCACAGGCCCAAAGTATAGTAGGGAAGAGTAACTACCAATTGAGAGTTGAAGAATCGGTTACCATAAACAATTGCTGATCAGAAAGAAGTACAGTGGCCATCTTTAAAAAGTTACCCATAAAGTAAAGTACCTAGTAACTGAAAATAAAGTCTAATTTTTAAAAAAACATGTAATACTGGGGCCAGCAGGTGGCATGGCGGTTGAGGTGCTGGACTTCCGGATGACCAACCATGGTTCGAGTTCTGGATTTCTTACTTTCCCTTTCTCTCTCTTGTCAATTAAAATAAATGAATAAATAAATAAAATTAAAATAAATTATTAAAAATACATAATACTAAATTTAAAGCCTACATTTATTTAGTTTTTATATAAATAACATTACTGTGGAAATAGTATAATCTCATTATGGAAAAATTAGAAAACAGAAACTAAAAGAATAAAAATTATATGTATTCCAACTATTAGTCCCACCACTCAGTGATGACTACTGGTTATCTACTTTTATAGACTTGATTTCTAGTTAAACACTCTGTTAAGATGACAACAAAATCACTAGTCTTGTCACATCGTTCTTTAACACATTGTCACCAGAGGTTTTAAGACAGCATGTCTGCCTCACTGGCCTCTAAATCTCTGGCTTAGCCGGAAATTAGATCGTACAGAGATTGTTTGCTGCCTTCCTCAAAGTTGAGTGATTCCCAAAATTTCAAGTGCTGACTGAGCCCTTTGTCCCTTCCATTCCTCTTTCCCCAAACAAACACTCAAACAAGTTCTGGTCCCACTATGGCTCTAAGGTACTCTGCAATACCACATTCCAAGAAAAGCTTTCATAAATGAAAGGAAAGGAACCATGTGTGAGGCCCAGTCTAAGGAGAGGTTCTTGTGCCAGATTTCATCCTACCTCATATGTGTGGAACCTCACATTGGTACAGGTGGTGCTTTACTCTGGTTGAGTAAAGGTGGAGCAGGTGCTGTTACTCTGTTTTATAGATGGGAGCTTCTGAGGTTTGGGAGGTTAAGTAACCTGCATGGGGCTAAAGGGTTAATTCCCAGATCTACATGACTCCTGAACACAGCACTCTCCATTTTATTCTTGCTCTTAATTGTCATTTATGACTTTGAAACTTAGAACACTTGGTGAATTTTCAGTATTTCTCCTTAAAGACAAATCATTTCCAAAGATAAACCTTTGGAAACCCTTTTGGTTAGAAATTCAGAGCTTCATATGTTATTTCAAGATTCCTTAATTATTTATTACCTTGAAAAGGCTATTTACATAAAGCAAATATTTTGCTTCTGGAGAGTTTATAATAGTCTACCTTTTATAGTATCCTCTACTTAAAAGTCAAAACAACTTCTTGGGAATGAGATTTTTCAGTCCGTGTTAATAAAATACCCATAGATCACTTATTTAACATCACACCTGGTACAACACGATGAGGATCCACTCTGGCCTCTCTGTTTGCTCTTCTCTTCTTGCCATGGGGTCACTCACAGCATCACAAGCCCATGAGACGAGGATGACAAATCACAGGTGCAATATAGTACAGGAACAACGTCAATTTACTGGAACAATTTAAAACATCATTTTAAAATCTGAAACCATCATGTGAATGATAGATTGAACAGCCTACAATTAACCTGAGTTAATATTTGGCAGAGCTAGATGGATAGCTCTTAACGTCTAATCTCACACAAAGTGCTTGACAGTCTTTACTGAACAAAACCAAATATATTTTAATTCAGCATCTTCCCTGGAATACAATGTAGTCACCTAGTTGTCCTATTTACATTTATTTTAAATGGGAGTTTCATTCTAGCAAGACCAAGCCCAGAAAAAAAGTGATGTAGAGGTGAGGTTGGCTTTCTGCACCTCAACCATCCTCGGAGTGTTACCTTACTCACTCCTCCTGGTGTACTCTGCCCCTTTATCTTGGGTATCATGTTTCCTGCTAGTCCCCCCCTTCTTTTTAAAATCACCTCTCTTAAAACCAATTGGTTATTCAGTCACTCTGCAACGTAGATAATTAATAAGCTTATTATGTTTTCACCCACAGGATACTTTACTGACAGAGTCAAATCACAGAGAAAGTAATAAGGGACCAGTAAAAGGTTCCCAGTGACCATCAAATAATGTAACTGAACTCAAAATTCTCAACTGTCATGGAAATCTCAGTTGTAGAATTGGTGAATGCCACATGGAAGACAAGTTCTCTAGTTCATGTGACAATTTACTCTCCTTGGAGAATATAGTTTGTTCACATACAAAATGGGCATAACAAAAAACCTCCCTCAGATGATTGTTGGGAAGACTGAATTAGTTGATATGTGTAGAAACAATTAGAATAGCACTGGCATTTAGAAGTCCTCACTTCCTTTTGAAGTTTTCTTCTTCTCTCTCTCTTTTTTTTAAACTTATTGTATATATTTTCCATGAGAAGGGGACAAAAAGAGAGAGAGAGAGAGACAGAGAGGCACATTCCCAATAAGTCTTCATGCTGTGATCTGCCTCAGCCAGTCCAGATCATAGGCATGCATGTCTGGCATAACAGGGAGGCCTTGCGACACAAACCTAGGACCTTCCCATGTGGATATCATTGAGTTACTACTGCACCACCACCTAGCCCCTGCCTCCTATTTCTTGGGGAGACAATGCAATATAGAAGAAAGCAATGGGTTTAAGGGTCAGATGATCCTGGTCCCATACCTAGATGCTGGTACTTGCTAGCTATGTGATCATGGGCACATAATCTTCTGAAACAACAATTATTAATTAGGTATTATTGCATAAAATCATTTTCCCCAACAAGGTCATATTGGGTATAGGTAAGGAAAATTTATGTCAAGTTTATTTATTACTCACAATTTAAATATTAGCCAAGTTCCCAATGTCTAGTACTATAGATAATGTAATGAGGTAATACTAAACATAAAAAGTATCCATCTTTGATCTTAAAGAACGTATGATAATGGGACCAGCAGTTCGTGTAATGGCTATGTCGCTGGACTCCCCCGTAGGCGACTGCAGTTGGAGTCCTGGACCCGATGGCTTAAACTCACGCCGGGCGCATGTGCATGCATGCCCAAGATTCCGAGAGGAGAATGGAGGAGAAGGGATTGCAGCGTGGCCATTCTCCCTGGGGGGTGATTTCTCGCTTTCTGTCTCTCTGTCTCTCTCTGTCTGTCTGGCGAGTGCACGTGCCCTATAACAAAAACCTCTCCCACAAAAAAGAACGTATGATAAAATGAATAAACTCTAATAACAATAATAAAACAAAGATTCCATGAGAAACATGAGAGGATATTTAAAGAGTTATTCATCTGTTACAAACACTTCCACTTCTAGTCATGACCAGGTAAGCTCATGTCTGACCAACGTTTCCATAGGTAATACCTATAGACTCCGGAAGGAGCAAAAATAACTATTTGAAGGCTTTAAAGAAAAGAACAAAAGCAGGTAGATACTGGAGAGTCAGATACTGACTTCAAGAAGAGGACTTCAAGGCATGGGTTTACTCTTTTTTTTCCCTGCTTTTATCATGAGGGCAGGCCATGGTCAGTACTGTGTAGGGAGGCCAGAAATTGAATACAAATCTTATCTTACTTGAGAAAGGGTTTGAGTCAATAACAGTTCCTAGGGAGTCTTGCAGAGAAGAGAGACAGTGTGTGCCCTAATTTCTGGAAAATCAGTATGCTCTAATATCTGGATGTCCTTGAGCCCTGCAAGTAAAGGGCAGAGTCCAAGGAGTCCAGCTGAGGCTAAGAAAACTGAACTTAGATTTGAGCTGCCCTATATTGCCAGGGAGACAGAACTTGTGCTTCAGGCTCAGCCAAGTTAACTGCCTGCTTTGGAAAAACACAAAACAAAACAAAACAACCCAAATAATACTTTTTGGAGAGACATAATAAAATCCAAAGTTTATGGCACATATTATTCACAATTTCTAGGATAAAATCCAAAATTACTTGTCATATAAAGAAACAATTTCTTTTCTTTATTTCTTAAGCTTTAGGGTACATGCACTTTCCAGACAGAGACAGAGACAGAAACAGAGACAAAGACAGAGGAAGGGAAAGTGAGAAATCACCCTGTGGGGGGATGGCCATGCTGCAATTCCTTCTCATGCAGTCTCCTCTTGGGATTTTGGGCATGCATGAACACACGCCTAGTTTGATTTTCAAGCCGGGAGTTTTAACTGTGCAGTTAGCTATGTGGGATCCAGCTGCTTTAAGCTCCATTCCACTTTCTATTTCCAAGAAAAGAGAAAATTAATGGAGAATAATTCTGAGAGTACCCTAATGCTCAAATCAAAAGATAAGGATTTTAAAATAGTTGTGATTAAGGACTGTAAGGAAAATATAATAATGAAAAGAAAGGAAATCTCAGTTGAGAAATACAGTCTATTAAAAAGAACTAAACAAAAATTCAAGAACAGAAAGATAAATAAAATTTTAAAATTCATTAGATAGCTTAAAAGCATAGTAGATATGATAGAATAAAGGATCAAAAACTTGAAGGTAGACCAATAGAAATGATATAATCTGAATAGAGGAAAACAATTTTAAAAACAGGTCAGCCTAGCTGAAATAGCACACACTGGCTGACACTGCTATTTGGCAGGCTGAAGCCATGTGGGTGGCCTGGGTTCAATTCCTGATTCACCATTAAAACTAGGCATGGTGGCATATGCCGATAGCCCCAGACACTCAGAAGGACTGCAAATTTAGTTAGTGTGGAAAGCATAACAATCCTGTCCAGAAGGAAACAAAAATCGGTCTCATGACCCTGTAAGAAAAAAATGATGGAAAATCCCCCAACTTCATGCAAAATATATAGAACATAAAGAATGCCTCTAGAGACAATTTTGCATGTAGTCAGATAAATGTGACACATCTCTTCCTAGGAAACAATGATTTGAGTCACCTAAGACACTCACCAGAATCAACTGATGCTTATTAACAGTAGAACAACAGCTTTAAAATGAAGAAAAAAAAAAGGTGCCAAAAACTCTATCTAGGAAAATATACTTTAAGAATGAAGATGAGGTCAAGTTTTCCCTAGGATAAAGAAAGCAAAGAGCCTCCCTTAAAAATAAGAGAGTGCTGTATCAAGGATTAAATTATAATTTTGTCATTTTTTCCTTGAAGTTGCAGGACACTTAATCCACAAGGGCAAAAAGCCCAGACTCAGTGGCTTGAAAATCATGCCAGGTGTGTGTGCATGCATGCCCAAAATTGCAACAGGAGAATGGAGGAGAAGGGATTTGGACATGGCCATCCCCGCTTGGGGAATGATTTCTCACTTTCCCTCTCTGTCTCTCTCTTTCCAGCAAGTGCTTATATGCTATGGCAAAAAAAAAAAAAAATCTAATAAATAAATAAATAAATAAAAGTAAAACAAAAGGATAAAAAGCAAGACCTGAGTTAAGAAAGCAAGACACAAGTACATATTATCTACCAGACAAAAGAAGAAACAAACTTTAAATGCATAGATATGTTGAGAATAAAATAATGAAAAGGTATACCATGTTAATACTAATTTTAAAAAAGATAGGGTAGCTATATTAATATTACACAAAATAGGCTTCTGAACAAGGAATATTAACAAGGGTAAAAATAGCTAATGTATAATGATGAAACAGTCAATTCACTCAGAAGTCATGGAAAAAGTAATAATATATATATTATATGTTTATATATAAATTTATAATATAAATATACATAAATATATATTTATATATACATATACAAATATGTATAATTTCTATTTCTAATATTATATATATATAATTTCTATTTCTCTTTTCATTTGTCAGTTTTGCTTCTGGTAGTAGATATATTGTTTATATATAAAAATATAAATATATGTTAATATATTTATTATATAATACATTGTATAGTATATGTATATAACAATATATCGAATATATATCATTTATATATTGTTTATATATTTTATATATGTTTATATAATATGTTGTATAGTATATATATAACAATATATCTAATATATGTAACAATTTATTTCCTACTACCAGAAGCAAAACTGACAAATGAAGGGAGAAATAGACATAGACATATCCTTAAATAAGAGTCGGACGGTTCAACATTCTCTCAGTAATCAACTAAACAAACATAGAAAGTCAGTAAGGAAATAGAAAACTTAAACAATACTATCAATCAACTGAATCTAACTGATGTTTATAGAACAATCCATACAATAACATCAAAATCCACATTCTTTTCAAATGTATAATCAAAAAAGTTAAAAATCATATTTTTATGTAATAGCAAAAAACAGTTGGAAATTTAAAACATTTCCATTTATAAGATATCATAAAAATCAGGAAGTACCAAGGTATAAATCTAAAAAATATGAGAGGACTTTGAAAATTTAATTAAAAAGTAGAATTAAAGTGTAAGTTCACTTTGGTGCAAAAAACTTAAGTCCATGCATAGTTTTTTCATAACAGGCATTTTCATGAACATTTTGAAGACACTCCCCCCCCCATAAGAGCATGATCTATTTGCTGGAAACCACGAAATATTCATGAGAAAAATTAAAG